CAAAAGTCCGCATAGTCAAAGCTATGGTTTTCCCTGTAGTGATGTACGGAAGTGAGAGCTGGACCATAAAGAAAGCTGACCGCTGAAGAATTGATGCTTTTGAATTTTGGTGTTGGAGGAGGCTATTGAGAGTCCCCTGGACTGCAAAGAGAACAAACCTATCCATTCTAATCAACCCTGAGTGCTCACTGGAAGGACAGATCCTGAAGCTGAGGCTCCAATACTTTGGCCATCTCATGAGAAGACTCCCTGGAAAAGACACTGATGTTGGGAAGGTGTGAAGGCAGGAGGAGAAGGGGACGACAGAGGATGAGATGGTTGGACAGTGTCATCGAAGCGACCAACATTAATTTAACCCAACTCTAGGAGGCGGTGGAAGACAGGAGAGCCTGGCGTCTTCTGGTCCATGAGGTCACGAAGAGTTGGTCATGACTAAAAACTAAACAATAACAACAATCTATAATAGTAATCTATAATAGTAATAGAAACTGAATACATGAAAGCAGGAATTTAGGTATAACACACAAAACCGTACCTTTGCATTCTGGTTCAGGCGACCATTTTCCACCAACACATTCTGTTGTATGAAAACTGGAATGACAGCTGTAGTTTGCAGTCTCGTTATACTTAAATTTCTTGTTAGGAACATCTGGTACAAATTTGGTATTTTTTGGCTGTCTACATTCTCCTGTAACATGTAATGGTAGAAATACCGCTCAGCCCAGCAGTTAATAATATTCAGTTCATCAGATTCAATGCAACAAGTAATGTTCAGTTAACAAATGCAGGGAGAAAGAAGACAAGTGGTTTCTTATGTTTTAGACTTGTGACTGGTCTCAGATTTTATTTTATTTATTTGGTTTTGGAAGACACACAATGTACAGCTGTTACAAAGATGAGCTGTGAACTACAATTTTTTCATACCACAATCTTTAACTGACAAGAAGTGGTGTGATGAACTACTTCCATATATTTGGGGTGTTTGGTTTCCTGTCACATGCTGCTTTATTATTCTGGTGATTTTTTTTTGTTTTGAACTTCACATACTGTACATCTCATGTGTCCCTAGCAGGCACTGTCACTGAACCCTCTTACCAACCAGACCCTCATTCATACTGCCAGTTTGCCTGGCTGTTTACCCTGCTCAATCATTGGAATGTTGACTTCATCACACTGCAGCTAAATCCTGCTATTTCCTCATTAATCTGAGAGAACACATATATCTTTCAGTACATTTACTCTCATATTCTCTCAATGGCACTGTCTGTACATAGCAGCGTTGTCCGTAAAACAACATGAGAAGCAAAACTAATCCTGGGCATGTAACTCAAAACCCCAAGGCTAGTTCTAGTCTCATGATATGATTGATATGTTTGACTCACTGGATAAAGTCCTGCTGTACAGTTCTGCAAAATTTGTAACTTTTAGATGGGAATTGCTGTAAGACAAGAAATCTCCATAGACATTACCTGCTATATGAAGAGTCATACAATTTAGTGTGCTAGCTGTGTAATTATTGCTGTACAAGCATGCAGCAATAGATATTGTGCGGCAGAAGCATTCCATAAGCCAACTCAAAAAACAGGGATGTTCCAAACAGAAAAACATAACTATGAAATTAGACCTAGGAACAACATCAAATTAGGCGCCAATGTAGCAGGAAGCAAGCTTTTACTCTGTGCCAAATTTGGCGACATTTGAATAAAGTAGAACCATTTTTATTCCATGCAGAACCAAGCAACCTGGAGCTCTAGCTGATTTAAAACAAATAAGACTAAATTTCCATACCTGGGGGAAAAATGTCCCCCCCCCCCAGCTGCTCTTTTTAAAAAAATTCCCAGAAATTCAGGCATTCATGCCTCGAATAAACAGTTTCCCATTAGTGCTTTAGAAACCAGAAAAAGTTTAAGATTGCTGACCCTCTTATACCTTTCCAACCTTCTATACAGATTAATATTTGGACACTGCCACTCCAAACACCATTCAAGGATTATGAAAGAAAACACTTAACTCCTTCCTGGTCAAACATTATTAACTTCCTCCTGTGAAAATATTTTAAAATATAAATTTTTAAAGAATACAGGATAATATTCAGCATCTCACTCATTCAAGATATAAAATTACTGTTTTTCTGCTTTGTGGCTAGGGATGATCTCAAAGCAAGTTTTACCCAGTTTAATTGTGGATAAATTTACCTAGTTTACTCAAGAATAAGGAGACAAAAGCAGCCAAGGCCAGCTGCAGCGCAAGGGGAAAATGTTAGGGGGATGGAAGGGAAGAAACCCCCTCCTACCCTCCTCACTTTGTATGAATTCATGACTTCCAAGATGCCATATCATTAAGAGCTCTGCTCCAGTCTTCTAAATCAAGAGCATTTAAGGTTAGACTGAAATTCACGCTTATTGAAAAAGAGCTCTGACAGTCGCTTTGTGTTTGGGAGAGAAATGGTTAGGCTCTGACAGTCGCTTTGTGTTTGGGAGAAAAATGGTTAGTTGATTTAAAAAAAAAAAAAAGGAGTCAGCTTCTGAGATTTTCCCCTGCATGGTGTCATTTTGTAAATGGTAGTGATCAATTCTGAGATTTTCCCCTGCATGGTGTCATTCTGTAAATGGTAGTGATCAGAAGAGGGTATCCTGTAGAAGATCATCTTGGCTGTTGCCTCTGAGATTTTCCCCTGCATGGTGTCATTCTGTAAATGGTAGTGATCAGAAGAGGGTATCCTGTAGAAGATCATCTTGGCTGTTGCCATGTGTGTTGTCAGCCTTCAGACTGCCTTTTGCTATTTAAAGCTTGGCATCCTTTTTCCTGCTGGCAACACAGGGACAATATTATGGAGCAGTATAGGGCCATTTCCTGGCTTTTTGAATTATGGGAACATAAGCACAATATCCCACATTCATAAACAAGACATTTATTGAAGATCTGAATATATGATATTAGATGTCCCAAGTTCTAGGTACAAAAACATTAATAATGAAAGAGAAGGAACCTCGCTGGTCAGTCATTACATGGAAGACAACCATGCTGTAAAGGATCTATAGTTCAGGGCTATAGATGCTGTCCACACAAGTGATGCTAAGGCTCAGTGAAAAAGGGAGATTGACTGGATACTGAGACCGGGTATACTAGCCCTCCAAAAGTTAAATGAAGAAACAGATTCTCTCCCTCTTCTTTAGCAATTAGGCAGAAGTCTATTGCTTAGTCAGAGTGACTTTGAGCAACAGCTGTGGAAGATAACATGCAGAAATGCAGGATCTCCCACCCCTGTGTCATAACTAATCTGGCTGAGCTCTGTAGTGACCAAATAAAAAGTTTTAAATGAAATCCAGGGTATGAATGAAACACAGTGGCTACATTTTTCAATTAAATAAAATAATACACTGGACAATTATGCTCAGATGGTATAAAGGTTGAAGTGGCAATATGTTGTCCCACTTTTTTATTTCATTCTTTTGTGTTCACTTTGTACTGCCCTTCAAAAAGGCCATAAAATTCAGGATGGAACACACTGGGCATTTTAAATTGAAATAAAGGGAGTTTTTTTCTTTTTCTTTTACATCTTGAGACTGCAATTTCTCTTTCAGAATCAAATTACGCAAAGAGACTCATTATGTCATCATGACTTATCACAACCCTCTCCCTCTACCGGCCAGCATAGACATAAAGGAAGAGTTCTGTCACCTAGTGCTTCTCTTCCTCATCCTCCCATTTCCTCCTCCCAGCACAAGACAAACACAGAATGGAGAGGCTCTGCCAGCTGCTGCTGTGTTTTTGTCTGAACTTGCCTGTTGGGGAGTGTCGGCCATCATGATAACATGCAGCAAGTTTAAAATAATACACTGGACAATTATGCTCAGATGGTATAAAGGTTGAAGTGGCAATATGTTGTCCCACTTTTTTATTTCATTCTTTTGTGTTCACTTTGTACTGCCCTTGAATAAGGCCATAAAATTCAGGATGGAATGCACTGGGCATTTTAAACTGAAATAAAGGGAGTTTTTTTCTTTTTCTTTTACATCTTGAGGCTGCGATTTCTCTTTCAGAATCAAATTACACAAAGAGACGCATTATGTCATCATGACTTATCACAACCCTCTCCCTCTACGGGCCAGCATAGGCATAAAGGGTGAGTTCTGTCACCTACACACAGTCAGGATCTCTTCCTCATCCTCCCATTTCCTCCTCCCAGCACAAGACAAACACAGAATGGAGAGGCTCTGCCAGCTGCTGCTGTGTTTTTGTCTGAACTTGCCTGTTGGGGAGTGTCGGCCATCATGATAACATGCAGCAAGTTAAAAGAAAAGAGAAGGAACAGGGAAAGGGAGGAAGAATAAGACTAATGTGGAAGTGGCTTTTGATAAGCTGTGGTAGGAAACACAAGGGAAAGAAACTGGCATAGAGGAAAAGTGGCTGGTGTGATGATGGCCCAACTTCAATTTTCCTTTGGTTAGCAACTGGCATTGGAAAAGAACTCATCCCCTGAGAATCTCATTAGACATTTTCACTTAAATGATATGCTTAATTTTTGAAATGCTTTACAGAAAGGGCTGGGTAACTTTTTGCCAGATATCGTTGGGGAGCTGCATCACACCTACACACAGTCAGGCACATCTACACCAATGTGTACAATATGGGCACAAACACAGGCACTCTCTTCCTTTCCATATCCTACTGGTCCTTCCCCTGGATGGAAAGAGCAGCTCGTTTCTCAGCCTCCTCCCAGAACTACTGGGGAGATGGGAGGAGATATGGGGCAAAGAGGAGCCTCAATTCCTTACAATAAGCTGGATGCTGTCCCAGGGAAATGGCACAAGGGGTTTGCTCTGTTTGCACACCCCTTTTCCAAGCATGCTCATATTAAGAAAAAAGGCTTTTGCCTCCTTCCCCCATGTGCCTTCTTTTCCAGTATTAATGGACACCTGAAAGCCAAATCATGCTGGGAAAGACTGTTCTCAAAGTGAGTCTTTTCCCCACATGCTATTTATTTTTCAGTACAGCCAGGGCTGCTAAAACAACTGATCTGCGGGCTGTTTCAGTGCGGAGGGGTGACTGCCCCTCTGTGCCCCCTTTTTCAGCCACACCAGTTTCCTGGTGCCTTATTATAGATCAGTTCAGCAGGTTTCAAGAGTGGATTCCAATTGTTCTGGAAAAACACAGAGTGAGAAGCATCATCTCTGCATGCTTTCAAAAACAGTAATGGCGTCAAGGAAGGAATTTCAGGGACAGGTTGCAGCAGCCTCCAAGGGTAACATGTTGTCTGCAGGTTGCCCACCACTGCATTTCATAGCACATGTTATTGCCATTTCACTGAGGGGAATGGAGCAGAAGAAACTGAGACTTGCTTCTGGTGTGTCCATAGCAGATACCATGCGTAAGTCCAATTAGGATATATTTATGGTAATCAATGTGGTAAGAAATACTGCATATGGTACTAAATTCAAGAAGTGTCTACGGGAATTCTAACAAGTTTATTTGCAATGTTGTTGCTTACCAGTGCATAAAGGTAACTCCCACTTTCCATGAAGACACGTGGCTGTAACGAGTCCAGGAATGTCAATTTCTCCCCAACATTCATAATCAACAGTTTCATTATGCTTGTATCTCTGTGCGTCAACACTGACAGGCTGTCCAGACGCAATACGGGTAGGTCGTCCACAGGTTTTTGATTCCTCTGTTGGAAACAGAATAAGAAAATGTGAGTAATAATCATTAATTGTTAGTAATTGATTTACTGTTAACATGATGTTACTGTTTTATCAATGCTAATAGACAATTTGTATGAAACATGGAAATAAACTGACATTAATCTATGGTGGGTGCAGCAATTCTAGATGTTGACTGAAGAAAGATGTCAATGGCATAAGCCCTCCCTTTCATCAGCACTGCTGGCAAAAGGGTGATCTGCTGGTGGGGTGGAGTGGAGTGGAGTGGAGTAGGTGAGAGCAAGGGCACTGGCCCAGGAGCCCTTATTTGTGCAGCTGGGCTTCCCACCTGAGCTAGATCTTGAAAGAGGGCATCCGAGAGGCAATAGTAGACCTAAGATAGGTTACAGCCCACCCATCCTCCCCAGCTACAGCAGCCTAGAATTGGGATACCTCATTCAGCCCTCCAGCATTGCTTTTAGGTTAAGAATTACTGAAAAAAATCCATCATACTAAGAAGACAAACAATGGAATCTGGAAATGGCAGAAAATTCATCCAAACTCTCCATCTCCCTTTGAGACAACACCTGGACGAGAGACTCAGGGGGCACGCAGATCACCTGCTCACAGTTTGCCTTACTTTGGGGAGATGCTTTGCAATGCTGCTTAAATTATAAAAATAATTTTAAATTTTGTATCTGTACATATAATTTAGTGTACACAATTTGATGTAAATCAATGTTTAGTTTTCTCCTCTTTTTTTGTAGGCATCATTCAGTCTCGAGAGATTATGGTATCGTGCCCTGTATGGAGGACTTGGAACAGCGTCTAGTGTGGCTGAGAAGGCCAATTCGAGATTGACAATCTCTTGCACACTGAAGACAAATCCAATCTGTCCCCTGTCCAGCTCCCTGGTTTTGCTGCTTTTGTGACTTCCTCTTTGCCTCGGCCTGCTGGACAAGGGTCTCTTCAAACTGGGAGAGGCCTCCAGGCTGAATGCTCAGATGTCAGAGTTTCCCATCTGTTGAGGTCTATACCTAAGGCCTTCAGATCCTGCTTGCAGATGTCCTTGTATCACAGCTGTGGTCTCCCTCTGGGACGATTTCCCTGCACTAATTCTCCATACAGGAGATC